TATTATTATTGCTATTGGAAACTTATTAAACTTATATTCTCACTTTCTCAGTGATATAGGAACCTGATTGCTTTGACCACAAAAGAGAGGTCTGTTAAAACTTGGATCGGATGGCTACACAGACAATAACGGAAGCTACACAGAAAATCGTAACCCGTGAAACCCTCCGCTATGCTGCCAAACAATCTCAACGTTGCCTCCTTGTCCCCATTCGTCTCCGCCGTGCCATTAAAAAATATCTTCAAGGTCATTTTTTGTTGTGTTGTGTGTTTACCTTTTCTCCTCAATAACACATATCATTATAAATTCATTTTGTGTGATTGCAATTGTTCATGGTGGCCTTGGTATTATAGAGCAGGAGGAACCACATATGAAGAGGAAAGTATTGAGATTGTCTCAATCATTCAACGACGTCAAGGATGTCAATCTACAGCTGGCCAACGCTACATCAAGGGGGATAGTTGAAGACCCTCTAAAGTCTCTTGACCAATCAAAACGATGGAAGATTCAGAGCTCTTACGGTGACATTGGTTTCACGTACAGAGATGATGAGACAATTGCTTATGTTGCTTCTCGAATGCCTGCTGTTTACTGTGCTTGTCACAGAGTTCTTAAGGAGGTAGGCAAGAAACTATTAGATACCTATCAGATAACTTCGTCAACAGTTTTACAAGAGTTCATTCCTATTAGGTGTAAAATAGAAACATAATCTTCATTGTATGTTCTTTTAGGTTCGTAGAAGGCTTCCGGGTTTCTCTCCTGCTAGGGTATTAGATTTTGGTGCAGGGACAGGTTCGGCTTTCTGGTAAGCAAAATACTCTTGAACTTTATTATGGTCAAGTTTTTGTTATGCTGTTTCCTGATTTAATTTGTTGTTCAATCTAATGTTGTAGGGCACTGCGAGAAGTCTGGCCAAAATCTTTAGAGAAAATTAATTTAATTGAACCATCACAGTCAATGCAGCGTGCAGGTCGGAGCCTCATACAAGGTAAATGTTAATTAGATTTTGCAAGCAAGATAAGTTTCTTAATGCTTTCAAATTTAAGTGAGGGAGGATAAAGGATGTTACATTTTAGGAGAAGGCTAGAAGGGCAAAGCCTTAACACATTCTAGTGGTAGTGCCTAAGTCATACCAGTCACTAAAATGAGTTAACCTGTCCTTGCCATCAACTTACACCGGTGATTTGCCCGTTATTTTAATTTATGAAGTTGAAGTATATTTAAGTATTTACTATTCAGTATTTTGAAATCTTTCCCTTCAGATATTCCTAAGAAAAATTGAGAGGGAATTGTTTAATAATTGTTGAATTTTGAATTTTACTCTCCTGTTTGTTATATAGATCTCAAGAATTTGCCACTTATTCATAGCTATGACAGCATCCAATCACTTTCTCAAAGCATTGGTAAATCAGAGAGAAGGCATGACCTTGTAATTGCGGTAAGTTTTTTCTTTTACATATATTAGGACCAATTTGCTTGTCCTACAATTTAGTTTGTGCAGTCTTGAGGTGAAAATTAGCAGCCATATTAGTTGGTCTGCAGAGATATTGACTTCGATAAAAAAGTCTAATCATGTTGGATTGTTTTAGTTGATCTGTTTTGACTTTTGGCATGTATACTAAAACAAAGAAATTCACGTAAAAAGAACTGCATGATTGTTAGTGATTTAAATTGCGGACCGCATCACCTGATGCGGTCGCAAAACTGCAGTTGCGGTGACCACCGCAGCCGCATAATGCCGCAATTGTGGTGTGACTACGAATCACAATGACGTGGCCACAATTTAAAATACTGTATATGACATATTTCTACCAACATCGCCATCAAATAAATTTTACTGCACAACTATAAGACCCATTGTATTTTATGCACCATATGTGACTTCATTGTATTAAAATTTGTTATGTTTATGCATGTTGTGTTTCATGTATCAATTTAAATTCTAATTTTAGACAGTTATGTTAGATGGATCTAAAGACCTAATTGTTTTGCTCAACTTATATATTAAATTCTGCCATAACATGGAAGATATATACATACAAGATAGTGAACTATTTGTATATTGTCCTATGGTAAACAAAAAATTTCTCAGTGCAGGGTTGCCTTTTTTCCTCCCGACCAATTTTAAAATTTTGATTGAAGCAAACTAAATATTTGAGCTGAATTCGCCCTCTTCGTTCAGTTCCATTGCTTAGTTGTAGAACCATATTTGCCTTTTTCTGTAATGCTGGAAGTGACATACTTTTTTTGCAATTACTTTTTTAAGCATTGAACATATAAAGTATTGTATGTGTTAATCTTAAACTGATGCTAATTCCACGTTTTCTGTTTTCTGGGCCAAAGTCTTATGTACTTGGAGAGATCCCGTCACTAAAGGATCGAATTACTGTAGTCCGCCAGCTCTGGGATCTAACTCAGGATGTTTTGGTATGATTTCAAGCTTATAGCTTTATTGTTGAATAATTGTGGAGAGGAGTGTATACAGCTAATTTATGTACTTTTACTACAATGGTGCCACTTTAACATATTATAGAAAGTATAACATAGTAATTGGGTGAGGAAAGGAAGCAGTGGGAGCAAAGAAAAAGGTTTGTGAATTACAGAGAAAGCTTTCCTAACAAGTAATGAGTGAGAAAACTTTTGAATTTTTAAACTTTCTTTTTGTTTGATCCTGGGCCAACCTTATGTCTAATGTTACCTCCATTTGTGAAATCAACATCTTATAGGTTTTGGTTGAACCTGGAACACCCCATGGATCTAGTATTATTGCTCAGATGAGATCTCACATATTATGGATGGAACAAAGGGTAATTTACTACTTTGCGTACTTTAAGAAAACAATTAAACTGTGATAAATAATCTTCCTATTTTGTTTTTCTTTTTCCATCATGGTTGTGTGCTTTTGTTTAGATTTTTTTTCTCCTTAGAAAGAGTGGAATTTGCTTCTCTTTTGTAGAAGCACCGTAAATCTGCTGGTAAGAACAATGAAGTTTGTAAAGATTTGACGACACAGAAGGCTGGTGCTTTTGTAGTTGCTCCTGTAAGTATATTACATTGCCAACCCCTCTCTCTGCCTCTCCCATTCTTAACTTTTTATTTGATAAATTTTCTTCATGCAGTGTCCTCATGATGGGACTTGTCCTCTGGTAAAATCTGGGAAGTTTTGTCATTTTGTTCAACGCTTGGAAAGGACTTCATCACAACGTGCCTATAAGGTAAATCAATGTTTTACTTTTCGCATTGACAATAGTCATGTCAGTCCCACATTACTACTTTCCTTTTTCTTTGATATCAAGAAAGATTAACATGCTCTAACTTATTTCTGTTCTAAATTTTATCAATTTGCAGCGTTCAAAGGGTGTACCTTTACGTGGCTTTGAAGATGAGAAATTTTCTTTTGTTGTTCTCAGACGAGGACAAAGACCAAGGTAGGTGTTTTAAGTAAATCTTTCATTTTTGTACTTTAGCAGTATGCAAATATAATAACAAATTTATTTTTCATGAAATTGTGTCAAGCCTAGAGATATGTTACTCAAATTACTAACTTTCTCCAAACAAAATTAATTGTTTTTATGGTGATCTCAAATTATATGGCATCACTTTCCATCCTTCCTTCATACTATGTAGTTCTGATTTTTTCACTCATCCCTTGGACCAGAGAACCTTGGCCCCTTGACGGTCTGGAATTTGAGACTCTGAAGGAGGAGCGTGCGAAAAGAAATCCGGAGGATCTTGAAATTGACTATGGTATTTGTCACACTCGTGAATGATTGATCTCGTTAAAAATACCTCGAACAAGATATACGGTCTGTTTTGCTATTAAACCAGCACCCTTCCATTTATTTATTTCTCTTCACTTTTTCAGAGGACTGGTTGAAGATACAACAATCCGATGATGCGGTTCCTGCTGAAGTGGTAGATGCAGTAACTACTTACGATTCTGATGCTATTGAAACTGATGGAGCTGCTGCTGATGATGATGATATTGAAGAGGATGATACTGAAGAGGATGATAAGGTTGAAGAGGAGGAAGAAACAGGTAGTGCTGATCTTGGAGGTGGATGGGGCAGAATCGTGTTCATGCCGGTGAGGAGGGGTAGACAGGTAACAATGAATGTGTGTAGAACCACCAACATGGATGCCTCAGAGGGTTCGTTTGACCGTATTGTTGTAACCAAGAGCAAGAATCCTAGCTTACACCATCAAGCTAGTAAATCTATTTGGGGTGACTTATGGCCTTTTTGAAGCAAATTAATCTGTGTTGTTAATTTATTTTGGTGATTTCATGTACCAATGTTTAAGGGTTATGCATTCCTAATTGTGAAAAAACAGTTCACATTATATGAATATTGTTTTTTGTAAGTAGCTTTTCTTTTTGAATCTTCTAACTCTATGGAACACAGGCACCAGTTAATAATAAAGATTAAAAGCTAGTCTTTATAATTCAATGATCTTTAGCAACTATATGCATGACAAAGGCATTAGCAGTGCATTTTTGCTACATGTCTTCTGTAGTCTTTGAAGCTTAAGAGGCTTTGCTAAGTTATTTGTGTTATAATTGTTCGTATGATTCTCAGATACATTATGTTGGATGATGATAAAATATTATTATCTAAGTCGTGAGATAAGATGTTTTTATTTTGTACATATGATGTGCTGATGATCTATTATAAGGTCACATTTCTCCATTTTTTATTATCAGTAAATTAGAAAAAATATTATATAACCATTTTGACTCTTCTCTATTTGTTATATCAAGAAATTAGAAAAAAAATGATATAACCATTTTGACTAAAGCCCATTTATTTAAGATTAGATCTGCCAACGAGTCTATTTGATTTTATGAAGAGGTTAGTAAGAAGTATTTTTAAAGAGTTAGTAATAATTAAAAATGAATATAGAATGGTTCTACTCTTTCAATGAAATGTTTTCTTTCACTTCTTCCTCTTATCTTCCTCTCTTTGCTTCCTGTCTACATTGGAGTTTTATTCTCAGCTCTTAATCGTACATTGTAAACTACAAATGCCAGTAATGTTTCAGAATAATTTCATCCTAAGCTTACCGAACTGCACTTAGTTTACATCTATAAATTACAGTTTCGAAATAATGGCAAGAATATATATGAGTAAATTCTAGCATGCGATTCTAAAAAAAGGCACAGAAAAGAAGAGAATGGTTAAAACAATTGCCAACGGTTGAAGAAATATTGAACTCAACTTTGAAGAGGCCGCGCGAGCGCTGGCCTCCACAGCAACAAATTATGATGTAGACTCTGCCACTTGGGCAGATCTTAGGATAGCACCCCTCCTAAGTGCAATGGAGGTCACTACCCTAGGCAATGGATCTTCTTGATCACCCATTGACCCCATCCAGGTAAGTAATTTTCTCTGTGCTACACAGTTCATATTTATAATTCATTCTTCATACTAGTTCATTAAGTCTGAACGATGTGGGACTCCTATGTGATGTAACCTTGCTTGTCAATACAGGAAGATTAATCTGCTATTTAAGAGCTATAGTTGTACCTTGTGACTAGTAAAAAAAATACCAACTCCCTGTCTTCTAAGACTGAAAAGCTTAGCATATAAATTATTTATGTAGTACTTAATAGGTTTATGATCCTCGTTTATCATGAAATGATACAGATTCAGTCTACAATGAAGTTTTTTTAATAAAACTTATCGAAAGATTATAGTGATGACTTCTTAAGCTCTCAATTGCTACTCAAATGGTGTTGAGTATCTGTTACACAAATGGGGTTAAAAGTACCTCGAAATGGTTGCACTACTCATTCAGAACGCCAAATATTATGCTCAGAAAGAGGGGCTGAAGTTGTTCTTTCATCTGCATCACAGAAACCTCCACAAACCTCATTTCTCTGCCTAGCTTATCGAAGTCTTAACGAGCCATAAATCCCAGTGTTGCTCATAGGGACTCTATCAGCCGTAAAAAATCACAGCACACGTATAGTTTATAAGATAAATGTATGTTGTCTTACCTTGGTAACTTCGTACATGTCAGATTAACTTTCATGTTTGCATATATAAGATTAGTGTCTTTGAAACTGAAATATCCACAGAGCAACTACATATATTCCATCTATAAAGGACAAAGGAGAATTTCAAAACAGCTAGTACATTTCTGTTTCTTTTATATGGGACAATATATATGTTCTACTAAGTCATTGAATAATACTAAATTATGTCTTAAATTCCTTAAACTTTGTAGGTTCAATAAGAGGCTTGTATTTTCTTTTTATCACTAGAGGAAAAAGGGGAATTCCCTCAACTAACATCAAAATCAGAGTATTATATGGGCTGGTTTTGTTTTGGATTAATGGTAGACCTGCACAGTCATCACTGTTGAAAAAAGCTACCAACTTACTCAAAACCCACACCATTCAATCATTAGTACTTATGTGGATTCCAAAGCCTCAACTAGGAAATGGAATGGAAAAAATTACATCTAAGAAAGGAGAAAGAAAAAAAGACCTGAATTGCTACATAGAACAAAAAGATAGGCCTTTTCACTGTTTCATCACAACCCCACCACTACAAACTTTTCTTTCCTCAAACTTCACAACCACCCTATTTGGATGTGTGTTAAGAATCCCACCATAAGATTGTGTTTGTTGTTATTAAAAAACAAGTGTATTTTACTCTTTGTGTGATTATAGTGGGTTAGTGGTATGTTTCTTCATGATTTATGCCTCAAACTTGCTTATTACAATCCCTTCCTTAAAGCTGCAAACAACAACTATATATTTAATTAAAACCATAAATTGTGGAATTAAACTAATACCCTTTGGTGGCCAATTTTTTTTTTATATAAATGATTACTTTTTGTCCTTGCCGAGGTATTCTGTCTTTTGGTGGAGGGTTTAACTACATTCAAGCTTTACAACAAGTATCAAATATTAGCTTTTGGTCTTATAAAATACCTAAGGGGTCTAGCTTTACTCAATAGCTTAACCAATTGGTAAATAAATATTGATAATCAACCTTTTATTTTTATATCTACCATTGCACTTTCTTTTATGTGCTCTTTATTTATTTATATATATAATCAATCTACATAACTTGTAAATGATAGATAGTGGTTGAATGGGTGGAGATCCTACACATGACAATATTGGAGTAATTTATCTGTAATACAACTTTATTCCGAAAAAGAAGAGTAAAAAACAAATATAAATACAGGGAAAATTATTAACATAAAAAATGTAATAACCAACAAAAAGTTAGTCCAGTGGTATAAGATGTTGGATATTTCCGATTAATCCTAATCGTATCCCCGAAACCGAATGATTACGACATTGTTCCGAAACCAAATGTTTATGCTCATACATAAACCCTAATGGAACAATCCTAATTCAGACCGGAGAAAACCCCAATTGGTTTCATAGTGAAGAAGAAAACACATACATTGGTTAGTCATTCCGAATGCTCCGATGTATGTGGGTTGTAGGATGTTCCGCTTGCTAGAGCCTGATGGTTTTCCGTTCGCTCCGCTAGAGGGGAATTTAGAGAGAACGAGAGTGCTTCTGATGTTCTTTTTGTAAAAGTGAGAATGAGAGGGCTTGGTACCTTATGCCTTTCTCTTTTTCTTTTTTATATGTTGGTTTTGTGACTTGAGTCACATATCCTCATAAACCAATCCTTATAACATCAGTTACTCAATAAACTCATTGCTCTGCAACTGAGACCATAACCCATAAAGTTAACATTAACGGTTACCACTTAAGTTGCAATATTCTAATTCAGTCCCTTCATCAAACTAGAAATTGCCCGAAGGTATCTACACTCGTAATATTTCATGACACATATGCCATTAGCCACCAAATTAATCCATAAGACCATTTTATATATATTGGCTAAATAAATAATGGCTATAACACAATTATAGAATTATATTTGTGACCCATAAATTGTTAGAAATTCCAACATAAGATTCTACTGAATCTCATGTATCATATTGGATCAAATGTTTGATTACTCAAAGCAATACTTGTTGGGATGAATAATCACGTATTTTAAAAGAGATTGGTCTCCCTAGTGTAGTAAGATACATATGGTTATATGAACAACAAAAATAAGTTACCAACAGTAGGTCAAGAACTACCGTCCATAACCGATTTGTTAAAAAATATGGATAAATATCTTATTCATGTTATATGTATGGAAAATATTACAAAACTTTACTTAAGAGACATAAAATTTATTTTAGGATCTTTACACTTAGTAGTAAGAGTCTAGACTTCAATTATGAATTGGGAATACCTATACAGGAAAATGTAAGGTATTGATTATATAAAGAGGAATACAAAACTATTCATTCTTTATTTTGTTAAGAATTTTTTATATAGCAACACTCTTCCAAAACAAGGAATAAACCCAACATTTTGATAGAAATCGACATGGGTTTTATGTAGAGCATCAAATCTAAAATTGATAAGATCACTGGGAATCTAGATCATCTAGATGAGATGATGATATATGTCATTTAATTTTTTTAATAATTTAGATTTTAATTTAATTTTAATTAATTTTTTTAAATCATTAAATTAATCTCAACTTTATATTTCAATACTGGACTGTTTAGTATAAGAAAATATATCAACTTGGGACCATTCATGAGTCACATAATCATGTCAATTGATTAGCTTCAAATCTTCAATTTGCAAGACAAAATGCTGGGCCCAACACTAGTGGGCAACCTCTTTATCTTGATGTCATGTTGATCATTGTTCACTTTATTTCCAAATAAAATTGGAATTTTTTCGAATTTAGCATAGAGATCACGAGCCATTTCTCTGTGTAATGCTCAACTTTTCTCAAAGGCTAAAAGGCCTATTATTCTATGTTGATACCAATATGGCAGAAGATAAGCTCCAAACTAAATGGCAAGTGTATATCTCAAGGAGAGAAAGAACACTAAAAAAAGAAGTGTGTAAAGTTAAAAATACTATAAAAGAGAGTAACTTTGTGAGGAACCATTAACTTTTCATAAAATTTAGACTAAATTACACTCACACCCCTGAGTTTTAGTGAAATTACACAAACCACCCTTCACTTTTTTGTCCTTACACGAATCACCCCTAATTTTGTACATATGTTACACTGACTACCCCTGAATGATATAAAAGTGTAATATTTTAAACAAAAAAACGTATGATGTCTGTAATTAATTAAACAAAATATTGTATATTGTGTAGAGAAATTCAAATAATATAAGAGTCATTGCGTCTTCATTATTTGGCTCATTATAAGATAGTATAAAAGTTATTTAAACATTTCTTTGAAATTATTAATGTATTTTTTAATGACACAAAAATAATAAAGAAACACTCGCTTTTGTACTATTTGAAATGTTACACAATATACAATATTTTGTTTAACTTAATTACATTCATCACACATTTTTTCTTTGAAATATTACACTTTTATAACATGCAGGGGTAGTCAGTGTAATATGTGTATAAATCTATGGGTGGTTTGTGTACGAGGGAGAGTTAGTTGGTGTAAGGTCAAAGAAGGGATGAGTGGTTTATATAATTTCATTAAAACTCAGGGGTGTAAGTGTAATTTACTCTAAAATTTAATACAAAAATTTTGGTCCTATTTTTAGTTGAACACTGCAATAATCACGGGATCAATAGGAAAACACGCCAACATTCCAAGTTTCCAACAACACATATAAACAGTAATACTTATCTCAATTAATGGAAAGACAAGTACCCAAAAAAATCAAAGAAAGTAAAATATGTAATATCACTTTTACCTTTTTTATTTAAAAGATGAATACATTTTTACCTTTATAGTACACATAAAAAACTCATTTGTTTCTCCATTTAATGGAGAGGAGTCTTACTCATACAAAACAAAGTACACACATTTCAACAATGCAGAAGCATTTATTTCTTGTTTTGTTATTATACTTACAACGGTTATCAATTGATGAATGAGATAAAATTGATATTATATTCATCCAATTAGCTGTTAGAAAAAGAAAAATTGGAACAAAAGATATACTTATAATTTGTTATAAAAATAATTAAAATTTATTATATTTGATAAAGACCTCACTCGATATCTCACATCCTAAGATATATAACATCAAATTAGGCAGACGTGCCAACCATAAAAAAAAGATCAATTTTGTGTTCAAACATAGTTTGATAGAATTTAAGCACGTGTCATCAAGTGGAAAGTTGCAAAAAAAAGTTCATTTCAATAAAATAAATGCTATGCTATTATCCTTAAATTATTACAACCGCATTAATAAATGACACCTCGTGTGATGTGAAATCA